GCTATACGCATCACATTCGAATTAGTGGGGATTTGGTGCGGGCAAATAAAGAGGGGGGGCCCATTGACGCAGGAAGGTCTGACTTCGGAAACTCCTTGGCGGAGCTGACTGGGTCGTCCTCTCTGAGACAGCGAGAGCTGCCTTGGATTGGAGCGGCTTGCGATTCAATTTCGACACTGCCTTGCAGGATCTTGCACGAACATCAGGACTGATGCACTTTCACAGATCCTGCGCAACTCGTCCCAGCCCAAACACATGAGCAATCAAGTCACTACCTGTCGCATTTGCACCGGTCAAGATCCGTTCAAGCTGCGATGGCAGAACGCCTTCCAAGCACTCATCGAACAACTTTTAGCGGACCAGGTTAGGGTGCATCTAGGCAGAATCCATGAGAAGAGCTGCGCGCTTTCACGTGTGCTAGTAAGGACTCGAGGTTTCAGCCAGCCCCGCCTCTGGACACAGGGCTGCTTACATGCCAGAGTGATCTACGTGAACGGGTACGTCTACCGGCTACTGTTATCGGAGAGAAATGTCTACATGCAAACGCAACTGATGCAAACACTCCGTTTGCAGAAAACTTCGTTTGTTGTAAAAAGGATGGTCCTATGCAAGGGTGCTGCTTGCTTCAAATTCAATCTTGACACAAACACAACTGCGTACATCACCTAAGGTGTGATTAGTGCCCACTGCTCTTTTTCAAGAGATTATGTTTGCTCTCTCTCTCTCTCTGCCGGCATGCGGACGCAAAGCCCCCGCTTATGTTTGCTCACAGAAGGGCTGTGACCTCAAGCATGCATACATGCTTGGAATTTCTTGGAATGTAAACATCAGTGCTTGCAGCAAACTCGTTGCGTTTACCATACAACAGCAGCTTGTGTTCAAGGCTTACCTGACAAAGGCAATGCAGTTCAGCTTACGTGCAAGGCAACGACTGTGCTAATATCGCTGTTCGCAATAACGAGAGTTTTCTATGCCTAGCGGAAGCAAGCTCCTCTTGTACTTACACAGGAGGCCCACTACAAACACCTCTGTTTAGATTATACAGGAAGCTCTGTTAGAGGTAGAGGCAGACACGCTTGTGGGATTCCTATGGCAGGACGCTGAGTGTTAACAGCTGGTTGTGCGCATGCAGCAAACCATTTGCATGATGTACTGATTTAGCGACAGCCGTCTGCAGCAACATTTTGCCTAAAGATTTAGCAGCAGGCTGCAATAAGTCGTGAGTTGAATCTCTGTTGACAGCAAGTTCTGACTTTCTCAGCAGCACTTATTCACATTGAAGGTGTTCAATGTAAACTACGCAGCCCTGTTGATAGCACGAAGCACACTTGGTGAAGAAAGCCGACGCCTGTTCTCTGCGGCTGTTAAGCTTTGGCATGCGGCTGTGGCGCTGCTTTGATGCTGGCAAGATCTGCATTTGACTTGGTAAAGGCTAAGGGCATAATCTCTATTCTTTCGTGATGAGTCGGGACGTTGACCTGCACAGCATGCATCTCTAGCGCTAAGCATTACTTTATAGGCCATGTTGAAATGGTTTGCAGTGAGCTAACCCCAAGAAACGTTCACTATAAGACTCTCGACGATTGCAAGCACAATGGCGAATGCAACACAAAGTTCAACCTAGCTGGCCAAATATCGAATTTCAGCAAGCTTCGAGAAGGCAGCTTGATCTCCCAACCAGACTGCCGCATGCAACCCAGAACATCCTCCTGGCAGCAATTCCGTCTCTGTTCCGTTAACTCACTTTCGCAAAAGCAAGCCACACAGCCAGCAAAGAGATCTCACTTTGGAAGACGACAACACTTTCTCATTTCAGCAGAGGTGCATGGTTGAAACCAAGATCAGCAGACAGATGACTGCACAAGGGCCATGTAAGCAAAACGCACGGAAACTGCAGTCCTCCGAGCGTGTTATGCTCAGATGTACCCACTCCGGTGGCCACATGGTGAGATCCTTCGAGACTTGTGCGCTGACCTTGGTAACGGGCGTGCATCTCTTGAACTATCGTGTGCCACACACAGACCAACAACTAAGATCGTGAAGGAAACAACATTTCTGCTAAAGATCTTTGGTGACTGATGCACTGAAGCCGTTGTCGAGTTCAACTTTCCACTTCAGGGTAAGAGGTGAAAACAGGCCACTCAACAGCACCGCTGCTGCCCTGTCAGTCGGTAAAGGGCTCTTGGTCGTTTCCAGCTTGGAACCTTCCACCGCGTAATCTGCTTCCACGCTCAGCTCAGGCAACGCTATCCCCATTTGATCTGACTAGATGACTGCGATGACCCTTGGTGACCCCAACACGCAGGATGGATTTCTGAGCCGAAAACTCTGCAGACAGATCCAACAAAGCAACCAAAAAACTAGACATGAGCCACCTTCACGACGGACGAGATGAGAGGACAGGCTCAGGAAATATCTTTCGTGCAGCAGATAAACCATGATGCACGGTACCTCGTCAGAAATGCTGGCCAAAGCAACCTGGGCACGCGAAAAAAATGATAACAAGAAATGGGTTGGTGCTGTTTGCAGCATGATGCCTTCTTCTTACATTGGACAAGTGACGGATTTGCCAGGTTCACGCGCTCTCCCGGCAGCTCTTTGACGATTGATGTGGTACTTGTAGTTAGATCTCTGTTGTCACTCAGTCACTGAGCTCGCGTTAGTGCTAAACTGGCACCCACTGCTGTCTGAGGTTCTTGCATCGATATCCTTGGAAATCATTTTGCAGCTGCAGACATCATGAGAGCATCTACTACAGAAATCTGAGCAACCGCCGACTTTACGGGCTCACTATCGGTAATGTTAGACAAGGTTCAAGGCAATGAGGCACTTCAGGGTTGAAGACGGTCTGCTTCCACTTCCACTGGCGCAAGCAAGGGCTGAAGACATGCAAGAGGATGCAGCAGGAAGGAAGGCACAATCATCTGATACTTCAGCTACAGTATGCACACCGTGAGGCTTGGGAACCGTAGACACGGCTTAGCTGTCTAGATTGTCTAGCGTTGGCGCTACGAGATCCACGTGCACATGCGTGTTCCAATAAAAAAGAAATCCCCGTTGTGCCACGGCCTGCAACCATATCAGCACTACTTGAAGCCTGCTCACTTTGGCGACAGAGTAAAACCTAAATGTGCGTTCGCCAATTTCTGGATGCCGCAGTGGTTCTCTTGCAGCATCAAGTTTTGGGAGCCTAGCATGCTTACCACACGGTTTTCACATGCAGCCACGCGCATAGCAACCGCCGACACGCTTCACACATTTTCTATGGACCGCAACAGACGGCTCCATCCTAAGAAGCACTGCGCTCCGTCGAGCGATGAAGGGGACGATGCCTTCAGTAAAGGCTGTTGCCCGGTGCCGCAAAAGCATGTTGCGTATCCATGCATTCACTATAAGGATCACATCAGCTACCAATATGTGTAGACTGCACCGAGAATGTCGGCCTTGGGAGGAGCAAGCAGAAATCTATGGCGAACGTTTGCTTCCTTGAGGCCAGACTGCGACAGCTGGCGACAGAGACGTTCGCTTCTCTGCCTCAAAAGGGGTGGTGCAGGAGCGGCCAGAACGCCAAGCGCGTTGACCCACACTGCAGAAAGTCTGATGAAGCATCTCGTGAGCGCACAATCACGTGAGCCAGTGTCATGACACCATAACAGGCGACACGCTTCCCAGAGGGCGACATTTTCTGAGTGCATCTATCCGTACATGTATACATGGTAATCGTACATATGCAAGACAAATAATGTTTAAACATATATATCATATAAATAATATAAAATATATATACATATACACTACCAGGCATCAAACAAATTGCATCAAAACCTTCTTCTCACTCCGCTTGGCAACGTCAGGCCTTCCACCAATTTTCGAGTGGCATTCACTATCATACAGGCCAGTCTTAGGGGCTTCGAGCTTGCTCAAAGAGGTTTCGATTCCGGAGCAACTTGTCACGGGACTCCTTGGTGAACTGACCGTTAGTTTGCAACCCAACATCAGACATAATGAGCAGTTCTCCATGAGGAAGGGCTGAGCCAACATGGCAGACGAGCGATGAAGTTTGAGGCGCTGAAAGGTGCATTCCACCTTGCGGGCAGCACTGCCGAAACACCAGTTACAGCCGCTTGGCAGCACAACGCCATCTGCTTGCGCGGGAGGGCGCAGATGCAAGCAGTTCTCGACCGCCAATCTCTTCAAGCTTTCGACGTTTGCTTTCAAAACTTGGGGTCGACAACAGGGTCAAGGCCGCACCAGCAAGTGGCTGCATTGAGGGCCAAAAGGTGGATTGTCAACAAAACTTTGCAGGCCTGCAACGCTTCTCATGACAAAATGGAGCTTGCGGGACCAAGACCTTTACGTGAAACTCCCAAAACCCTTCTCATGCAGCAAAAAGAAAAAACAGATGGCAGCTGCCCCGCACCTGAATCTTTTCAAGATGCTCAGTTCGGTAGAGTACACCATGCATACCTGCTCATGCCAAGGCAGGTGCAAATGAGAAAGGTTCGTGTAAGACTTTGGGATGCTAGTGGCTCATTTCTGTCGGTCTGAGGCCCCCACCCCAGTTTACACCTTCATGGCATATCCTGCGGAGCATGGTTGCAACATGAAAACCTAAAGGGCGCGAGTCGTTTCGGGAACCATGGAGGCGCGTTTCGGAAACCATGGAGGCGCGTTTCGGAAACCGTCAGGAGAGGGCGCAGAAGGGCGGGGTGGGTGCAGGGGGTGTGCGAGAGTGTAGGGTGGTAGCGTAGGGTAGGGTAGGGTCGGGGTAGGTAGGGCAGGGCAGGGCCGGGCAGGCCCTCTGTACAGTCCTATCCTACTCTCACACCCGCCCCCCTACCCTGCCCTACCCTCTCGTATGCCCCCCCTGCTCGACCCCCGCACGCCCTGCTGCGTCTACCCTATACCCTATCTCGCACGCCCTCCTGCTGTGCCCTACCCTACCCTCTCGCACTCGCACCTTATGGGTGTGCGCGGGAGGGTCGCGCTGGGGGTAGGGTAAGGTGGACGACCCACAGCCTGCCCTACCCTACTTCCCTAACCCCCCCCTAACCTACCCTAACCACCCACAACCCTCTGCTCCAACCTACCCTAACACCACCCACCCTCCTCACCACGCAATAACTACCCACAACTGACCCCTACCCTAACCACCCACCGCCCTACCCTACCCTATCACCACCCTGCCCTATCCTAACCTTGCCCATAACCTACCCTAACCACCCCTGACTTGCCCTAACCACCCACAGCGGCGTGCGAAAGCGTAGCGGGTAGGGGTGGGGCAGGGTAGGAGGGTAGGGTAGGGTAGGGTCGGGTCGGGTCGGGTCGGCTCGGCTCGCCCCACAACCGTCCCCCTCTACCCTAACCACCCACCCCTACCCTAACCACCGAAACCTCCTCATCTGCCCCAACCTACCCGAACACCACCCACCCTCTTAAACACACCAACAAACCGCCTAAGCACCCACCACCCTCCTCTCTACCCACAACCCCTCCCCTACCCCAACCTACCGTACCCTGACCACCCAACCCTATCTACCCTGCCCTAACCTTCCCTAAACACCCACCCCGCCATGCTTTCCCTAACCTACCTTAACCACCCACGACGCTCCCACACCCCAACCTACCCTAACCACCCGCCCTCCTTCTACTAACCTTCCCGAACCACCCACCCCTCCCACCCTCCTGCCCTCCCCTAACCTACCCTAACCACCCACCACCCTACCCTACCCCTAGCCTTCCCTCCCTGCCAGCTGTTCCGCTTTTTGCTGGCTTTCCACCTAACTGTGCAGCTGGCAGACTGTGTAATTCCCACGCAAATGTTTAGGGAAATTTTACCAGGACAGGGCTTCACAAGGCTACTGGCTTCGGCTTCATAAGGCTACTGTGTTTCAGCAGCACACCTAGGACTCTGTAAGGGGTTGTGTAATTCGGTAGTTTATATGGCAAGACTATGCAGGGCTTCTATTCTTGGAGTCTGATGACAATCTGGACCGTTAAACCTGCTGAAAAATCCTCTCTTGCCCCTCTGACGGCGGCTGCACCGTCTCTGAGACGGCACTGCTGATCGGCGCTCGGCCTTCTAAGTTGCCGCAATGCACCTGGCAAGTTCCTGAAATGTGCCTTGGAAGTTCCTGAAATGCGCCTTCCAAGTTCCTGAAACGCGCCTCGGTGGTTCCTGAATCATGGTTCCTGAATTTCCGTCATGGTTCCTGAAACGGACTGCGTTCAAACCTAAACATCTCGCGCTACTCGAAGCAAGCTTCCTTGGTCAAAAAGTTTCAAGCATCTCATGGCGAAAGGGACACTGCGGACCTGAAACTTAACAACAAATCACCATTCCATCCACTCGCTGTTCTTGTCAGTAACAAAAACTCTTGGACAGCTACGCAAGTGGAAAATAAATGTGAAGTAGCAGAGAAACTTAAGGCCAACTAGGTCCAAATGGCAAAATAGAAAGCGAGTCACGCAACCCAACCCATAAGATCCAACCTCCAACCAATGCACCCTGCTCCATGAAGTCGGAGACCGTTTAAATGTAGTGTGTGGGGTAAACTACTTGCACCGGCTTACAATCCAAACCCAAGAGAACGCAGGATGCTCGGTGTCCGCTTGGGCTCGTTGGCATCCGGCTGAATCCTTGCTAAGTGCTCTGATACCTAAGTGCTGTTTGTAGAGCGGGAGCGACCGAGAGGTCTTGGCATCTGTGCGACATGACTAATACGCGACTGTGGCAAACTCGGACAGCGGCACACTTGCCATAGGAACACCGACCCAGCAGCTGCAGCACGTCCCAATCACATGGCAGCTCCTGGGGCTCTTGACTAGGACACAAAGCCTGCAGTGAGCCAGTTCGATCCCCCTTATCGTCATGAGTATATTGACTTGTGTGAATCTACAAGCTTTTTGCTGTACTTCTACATTCTTGCAGTAAGACCACAGGCAAAACTCTTTTCAATCATGCTTTACAGATCCAAAGGTGCGACGACAGCGCGACTGCTTTCACTCACCTACCTACCAGTAGGCAGCTTTAAAAAGATCACAGGCCGCTGCGGTGTGATCAGCTTGATATGGCTTACGTGCATTGAAGCTGTAATATCCATGATGACTAACCGATGAAGCTCCTGAGTCACAATGCGCCACAGTTGGACCACAAAGTCGTCCATGAGCCAGGAATCGTCCTTTGCTACATACTGAGTTCAACGCCGTGTACCAAGCCATTTTTGTCTGCTCGCGCAACAATATGTGCATGCAGTCTCATGTAGCTTCGTGGTACTCCCCCATCCAGGTACATGCAGCTTCACTGTTGACTTACAAGGACCTGATAGCAAAAAAGCGTTCAAACCGCAGCGAGGTAAGAAATGAAAACATGGCGCGGACATTGCAAGTCTCTAACAAATACCCTTTTGCCGGTTCTCGCTTGACAGCTTAGGCTTGGTGGTGTCGACTCTTGCAGACAGACCATCCGGCTTCAGGGTATAAACAGGCCTAGAGTGGGTTGTCCAGTCCTTGTCTTTTGCCACGGCTTGAAAAAAAAATGTGGATGGTTGCTGCCATCCCGTAACTCTACGTTTCTGCGAAGGGGCCTTGACATCTTAATTGCACGTAAGGTTTGGTTCATCTGCACTTGTGCAGACCAAAGGCTGCTTCGACAAGCCTGCCTTTGGAGGTTCATGGTCCAAGTGACTACATGGGGTTCAGAGTTGGCAATGCTTTCAGGACATGACTCAGCAACACATCTTGCCGCTTGCACACCTCGAGTACCAGCCCCAGCGTGGGCTTCTCGTACAAGATCTGCCCTTGAGCTTTGAAGTGCGCCGCCGCCTTAAGCAAGGCTTTTCCAAGTGTCCGGTCACTTCACACTGAGGTACATGGAAAGTAGGATTGTGCAGTATAGTAGATAAAGTACTTGTATCAGTTGCTCTTGTTTTTCAGTCCCTAAGTCAAGGGATTGCAGCCCCAATGCTCCAAGGCCTGATCAAGGCATGAGGCGCTGAGGCACCGGCACAGCCCACAGTCCCAAGAATCTTTCCCACTTGTTGCTCAGGGGAAAAGGCTTTTGCCTCCGCACGAAGATGGTGTGAGCCCGTGAGACAGCCCTCAATCTTGGAGAGATTGAGGCTAAGTATATCTGGGTGAGGTTAGCGATCACATACTGAATGGTCAGTGGTTAATAGGTCTCAGGGGATTTGGCTGCCCTTGGTAGCATACTCAAAGCAAACGATCAGACATCTAGTACGCGGGAAGACATGAGAATTGCTACTGCGCAGCAGCAGGCTTGAACCTTGCAAACCATGCTGGCAACTGGTGGCAGAACGCTTTCAGACAAGTTTTCCACAGCTAAAGCTGCGCCAGCTCAAAAAAACGCTCATGCACCACCGCTGCACCGCATTGGTCGCAAAGTAACGGAGATCGGTAGCACACACGGGCGCAACGGATATCGACAGCAGAGCTCCTTGTTGCTGTGGGATGAAACCACCCTCCGCAAAGCTTGAACGAGAAAACACGAGCTTTGCTTGTGCTCGGCACAGGGCCTCACACGCCAAAAGGCAACAGCAGGCAAGCCTAGAGAAATCCCATGTTTTAAAAGCAGTGGGTTTTGCGCAAGAATCCAACATGGCAAGGAACAACTGTCGGAGGTGCCTGTGTTTTGCCGATGTCGAAGCCGCGGGGGATCCAGCCTGAACCATGACCACAAGGCAAAAAAGCGGTTGCAGGATCGCCGAGGTCTGATGAAAAATTCGTCAAGCCGCAAGACTACAGCAAAAGCATCACCTAACATAACCCAGAAAAAGCTGTTAGTCCTGCAAGGATTCCCTGCATCGCCAGGAACAAAGTTTCGACCTACTGTGGCCTCAGGGCCTTTCAGGAGTCCCAACATCCGCGAAAAGAGAACGCAGCATGGGTCATGTTGCGGAGTGAATTGATACACTGTTTTAAATGTATACTACTTTTGGGTTCCAGCGGAGTCTTCAAGGTGCTCCGAGGAGGAGTCTATGCGGGAGAAGGGGTCTGCTTGTCCTGTAGGTCTGCAATAAAAAGTGGGTCGAACTTGCATACTACCGCAGCACGTGTCCCTAATGCAATCATGTGAAGCGGTCCAGGAGGCGGGAAAATGTGCATGCAGCCAGGTGCGGCAGGGTGAGAGACACACTATAGCCTGTAAACAGCGGCCTTTGGCTTTGGCATCGTTGTAGCTACCAGGTTCCTGACCAGGTCATCTGCTAAGCGACTCGGGACTTTACTGATGCAGAAGAATCATAGCCATAGCCATGGGGCAAAAACGAAACTCCTGCATGTCAACTCCAATGACCCGCTCTGCAGCGATCCCGAGCTCCCACAGGCGCTTCGAAACAACGTCCCAGCCTTTGACACACAGCCAATGACACATTCAGCGAAAGCTTGCTCAAGCTTTTAGCATGCAGTTGCTCGGCAGGGCCCCTCACTTCTGAAAGGGTTTGCTACATTAGCAGAGAATTGGAGGACCAACTGAAACATAGCACACTGGACAGGCTTGGGGAAAAAGTCCTTCCTGTCAGTTTCCTCACACGGAAAACGAAGGAGGGACTGAACCATGTCCCAATTTGCTGAGGAGGCTTGTGGCCTGTTGGGAAATCAACAGAAATCGCATTGCAATGGGCCCCAAAGTCATGTTCGTGCCTCCTTCCTGAATGGTAGTAGCCTGTCGTTGCACTTGATCCATGCGCAACCCACAACAATGTGATGTGTTCACGGACAGACCCAGCCAGGACCCAGCCAGCATTGTGCGCTGCAGTGGGGCTGCTCCTCACGCGAACAGGGTAGCTTGTCCGCCTAGCCGGGCAAGAAGGCGACGTTTTTTGCTTCAGGGGCTGGCAAGAGACCAGGCGCAAGCAACGCCTTTGCGAATTTTCTTCACGCGGGATTCCCCGATGCACAAGTTTCTCATACGGGCCCCAGCGGAAAATTGGTCGTTGAAAGTGCATACGTGACATCCAGGATTCCCAAATGCACGCACGAGTAGCAGTCTCCTGTAGTACAGTGATTCGTGAAAGATCCAAGAATGCTGGTTCAATACAGGGGTGAAAGTAGAAACTCCTCTGTGTTGCGAGATGACAAGACGATGCGCGACTATAGGTTACATGTTGCGGTTCAAACATCAGCTTGTTGCTTCCCCCGCTTTGTCAATCGTTGCTCCCTATAATGCGAAAGGACCATAGGTGAGGCCGGCAGCATACACTAGCGCAACATTGGTGTGCGAATCATGGCGCTGGGCTCTGCTATCATTCTCCTAGGATCATCTCGGCAGCGCTCGTTGTTGGATTTCACTAGGCCAGTGCCACTCTAATCACCGCTTCCGGTACTCAAGGTTGCTCCACTTGAACGGGCTGTTGTTGCGTTTGCTGCCGCCGCTCGTTCTGCACCGCTGTGGGTCATGTCGTGATGTTCCTCCGCCAACCTTTCCTCTGCTTCAAGTGCGGCTTTGTTTCCTTAACTTGCTGTTGGCCCTCCTCTGTCATGCAGATCCTGTCTGCCCAAGTTCAGCTGCTGCCTCTCAAAAGGTTCTCCCAAACACGCGGCCTGGTTCTCGTCCTTGTTGGGAGCCTTAAGGTTGATTTTGTGGAATTTCGGTATTACTTTGCGTCCGAAGGAGTCAGATTGCATTTGGAAGATCTGGACATTGCCTGAGCCCCAGTTGACTCGGTGGCTGTCGACAAGCTTCACCACTACTGTATCCTTGAATACTCACTGGTTCAGATGGCTTGCCTTAGGTCTTCACATCTATTTTCACGCGAGGAATTTCAAGGCAACCATCCGCTCGCTATTCGAAGACAGTCTTCTGCTCAGCATGAAGACAAGCAATTTGAAAAGACCTGCTTGATAGATAGTCCCGTCGATAATGAGGTTGCGGACAAAGATCCAGCATATGCTGGTAGAATCACCTTACTGTCCGCTCCAAACAATCAAACCAGCTCCATGCTCTGTCACACGGTCGCATCTGCCAACAATGTAATTAAAGAAATAAAGCGATTCGGTTTTGCTCACTTGCCCCTGCCAACGCTGGAACAGCTGCAGAAAACCAAATGGCCCTGTTTTGATTAAACATCCCTGTTAATGCTGCAATCAAAGCAGCGAAGCTGCAAAAGATATGCTTACACGCTGGGCAGCTGCAAGTCCCGGTGCCCAGCAAGCTTGCAGCTCTCCTCTGAGCTTCAACAGCAGCATGCCCTCAAAGAATGCAAACTTTGCTGCGTTTTTGGGCTCGTAGGAGACATTGAGAGTCAAAGTAAAGGTAACATCGAGAAACAGCAACAGCACAAACAAAACTAGTACAAAGCACAACGAAACCAAACTAGGGCTCTTCAAGTCTAGCAGCGTGATGCAGATGAGCAAGCCAACAGGAAGAACAAGCAGGCATATGAAGTGCTGTACCCCACTTGTATAGTTGTTATACAATATGCCTGTGAAGGAGTTGCCGACAACAGAAAGTAGTGATCCTCGCCCTGTCATACGCCATACTTTTCGGCCTGAATCTTGCAGGCTGCTAAAATGTAACAAAACGGCGCTCTGTTAATCGCTTAGTTCTACGTCTGACAACAGGATTAACGACTACAGCCATGCTTTATGTATTGACATCTCCTGTTGCTGCATCAAGCAGCAACACATGTCAAATCTTGACTGCAGCCTGTCAAGATCTTAGGGAAATCCCTGTCGGCAGTTGCTGACAAGAATCTGCCTGCAAGGAAAAAATGATGTGCATCCGCATTGAATCCGCACAGCACTGTGACCTTTTCCGTCGAGACAAGAATCGTTTCCACCTTTTCCGAAGCTGTTCGCACATGTCTGAGACCCGGCCGTCAAGCCCTGCAACTGCTCAAATCTATTTTTCCTGCTAGCAGAGCGAACGGTTGTTCAGCAGAGGTGATTGTCTAATAGGATGGCATGAGGTTGGTTGATAGGATGGCGTGAGGTTTGATTGATGACTTGGTGGTTGGTACAATGTGAAGAAGCTGTTGCATGATTGTCGTGAGGCTGTCATGAAATTGTCGTGAGGCTGCTCTCAGGCTCTATATGTCTCTTGCAAAATTTTGTATGTTTTGATGAACGGGGCACGGCCAGCGGGAGCCGCCGCCTCACCTCAAAATCGCACTGGTGCGTGTAGCGTCTTTTGGCGCAACTGACGACCCTCACAGTGTTGCTCGCAAGTCCCTGTCAGTGGTGGTAGGGTGTCCGAACGCTGGCGCGTGGAGCGTGCTTGGATTTTTGCGTGCCAGTGGCACCCCTTACGCGGAGTGTCAGAGCACTGGCGCTTGGAGCATCATCAAAATCTGGGAAAAAGTGACGACCCCGTTCAGTCGTGTGGAGCGTCCTCGGAATTTTGCGCACAAGTCAGGACCCACTCAATCTTTTCGCGTGCAAGTGACGACTAAATAGTGATAGTCATAGCAACAGTTCATAGGAATACAAATAGCTAAAGCCAATAGTAATAGTGAGTAGCAATAGTAAACAGAAAGTAAATCGAAGTAATAGTATGATACTTTATACCAATAATCGAGTAAAGAGTAACAGAGTAAGTCGTAAATAGTAATAGTGATGATAACAGTAAATAGCAGTTGCGATAATGCTGGCGAATAATAAATAGCAATAGTCAATGGGAATAGTAAATAGTAACAGTAAACAGCAAATCTAAATGGCAATTGTAAGGGAACTTAGTACTAGCAATGGTACTCAGTAACAGTACCCGCAAAGAACAAATAGGAATAGAAAATGTAAATAGTGACCGTATGCAATCACCGTATGCAATAATTCCAAAAGTAGATTAGGATTCCATGCAGCGCGCGTAAACAGACACAAGCATTAAAGGAATGGAAAGAACGGGATGCTGTAGCATGGCATGAGGTGATGATCTTGTATAGTTTTTGTAATCTCTCGAGTGGACTGTGAGGATGATGCGAGGAGATGCAGCTTGCGTCATGTTGGCCGCATCGCGATTCAGACCTTTCTTTTCCAAATGCAGTTCTCTAGTTAGCAGCGCTGCTTCCCCAGGCCTTTGTCCTGCTGTGCATAAAGAGAACACAAGAATTCATGACATCGACGTCTCCCTCTAGCAGAGGCTGGCGCGGTTGTAGAACTTGGGCAGGTTGAGAACATAAACCTGCACAATCTTTCACATCAAATGTATGGCTGGCAATGCAAACCTTCTTCTCCTTCGCAACAGAGCGGGATGATTGCTGTGGCGCCCATCCCTAGCTGGAATCCACTGACATGTGACATCTTGACGCAAAATTCGATGCCCTGAATACAGACCTGGCAATTCAACTCTCAAATGTTGGTTGATTTCAGGAGAAGCGACCTCCAAAATCTCAACGTCCCGTAAGATCCTTCGTATCGGCCTGGTCATATCCCATTTGTACCATTGAAAAAGGAACTTCTCAAAGAGGCTACGGTCCGCTAAGAGCTCTGCACATGTACAAAGTCTCCAAAGCATGCCTTCACATGCTTGCGAAACCAAGCCGAAGCTCGCTTGGCCTCACGAGCTCTGTGAGCATCAGTCTTCTCTGACACTCGCAGATGCCCATAATTGCAAGAACAGATGCTGAGCCAAGGCTTTCCGTTCCACAGCTCAGTGCAAGGAATATGTTTGAAGACTGCACAGTTCGTAGAACGACAAATGAAACAGTACGTCTGGCATTGCCATGAACAAGGCCAAGCTGCATCATCAGGGTGGTAGGGCTTGGGGATGCCGTGCTTTGTGCCGTCGCACAACTGGCCAGCAACAAACGGTTGTCAAAACAGTCGCACGGAAAGCACCTTCCCTCACAAAAGCATGGTTGTCTGCAATGAGCTCATGAAAGCGACGGAAAAGTGAGAAAGTTGACACTTGGCAAAGGATGCAAAATCAATTTAGAATTTTTGTTTTTTTGTTTTTTTGGCTTGTTTTCATGGAAAGTCTCAGGCGAGAGCTTGATTTGGCAATCAAAATGAGAAAAAATTCAAGGGAGAGCTCGT